GGTAGCCAGGGAATGTCGGATCTATAGTTTAGATAGTTAAATATATGTATATATATGCTTTGATCTAATAAAGATACGGCGAGGCTGCCGATAATTAGAAAAAAAAAAAAAAAGATTCAAAATATGAAGTTGTATTTTTTATCATACAAGTAAGTTGAATCCAGGTATATATAGGATTAAAGTTAATTTAGGGTTATTAAGCATTTGTATTATTAATATCAGATTGTTTTAGATTATTTTAGATTTAGCTTGTAATTAGCATTATATGTATTCAAATTTAGAGTTAGAGTTTGTGTTAACAATACTAGAAATATAGCTATTTTAGATTGTATTAGAGTTAGTATTTGGCAGGTTAGTAATAATTAATTATTTTGGAGTTTGAGTATATATAAATAGTTCAAGCACATTATAGATTTTAGATTTTTTAGAATTGAGCACTATATATTAAGCAGATTAGATATTTTAAAGCCAGATTATAGTTATTATTAGGTGGGTTTGAGATAATAAATTTTTTTAGAGTTAGAAATAATGAAGATTAAATTTAGCATTTATTAAGCTTATTATATATTTAATTAATAAATTTAAAATTTACTATATAGCTATGATCATTGATCACGTGATTTATATAAGCTGGTAATATATCACTAGTGCATTATATTATATAAACCTTAATATATTACTATTTTAAAAATATTAGGGTTTGGGTCCCGTAGCTTATTGTTTAAGCTCTTAAACCTTACAGACAAGGTCAATGGTTCAAGTCAGGCTGATGACAAATTGAATAATTTGTTTCTGTAATCTTCAGAGGCATTATTGAATGCGGAGTCCTGTGGCTAAGTCTAAGTACAGGTATGAAACTAGAATAGGAATTCCCAGAAGGAGATCTAAATATGGAGTATTGTCACTACATATAACTGTGGTGTTACAAAAGACTGCAACTATGAAGATTGTATGAATAAGTCCTTAAGAGACGGGGCAGTACCAACATTCTTGTATCTCCAGGTTTGGCAATATCAATATCTCTACATCCAACTTGTGGAGTATTTGCTTAAAAGTGTGATCAATGGACTGCATGAATAAGTCCTTATTTGAAAAAGAAGATATGGGTATTTGCTTGAGAGAGTGATCATCACAACCAAAGTTGGAAGTAGCGAGAAAAGTGGTAAACATGTGGACAGTCTGTTGGGATATTTCATATACTAATTAATCAAATATATGCGAGGTATTATAGTAAAAATCAATAGTACAGATTTTATGCATAGATCGGCAAAATCGATAAATTACTATTAAAATATTAGTAATTTAAAAATTGATTCACCTCGCGTACTAGTAGATTTTTTTTGTGGCAATTTTCACGGCAAATGATAGTTATAATATTGTAAAAAAAAGTTACGGGCTTAAATTTTCGTTTACATAAATAAATTCATTATAAAATTCATTTTTTAGATTAATCTTACTAAGTAATAATTAAAATTTTCTAATTAATTAAAATTTTAAACCCGTAACTTTTCTTTAACACATTATAACTATCATTTAGTGCGAAAATTGTCACAAAAAAACTGCTAGTACGCGAGGTGAATCAATTTTTAAATTACTAATATTTTAATAGTAATTTATCAATTTTGCTGATCTATGCATAAAATCTGTACTATTGATTTTTACTATAATACTTCACATATGTTTGATTAATTAGTATATGAAATACCCCAACGGTCTGTAGTAAAGGATTGGCCTTACCAGAATCAGAAGCACCTCTAGCAATGCAGAATGAAGATACTATAGAAGGCAAGGATTATGGAAGTCGTCTGATGTTCTGTGTATATATAAAGGTACCGAATTAGGTTCCAGTCGCACCTATATGGAAGTCTATGATAAACAAGTTTAGGATCTACCAATTTCTGGGGTTTATATATGGACGCACTAGATTTAGATTAGGTTTAAATAAATCTAAATATCACATAGGTAATATATCACATGGGGTGTATTATTAGAGAGAGAGAAGGAGAGAAAGAGAAAGAGAGAGAAAAAGAGAGAAAGAAAGAGAAAGAAAGAGAAAAAAAAAGAGAGAGAGAAAGAAAAAGAGAGAGAGAGAAAGAGAGAAAAAAAGAAAAGAAAAAAAAGAAAAAGAGGAAAAAGAAAAGGAAGAGAGAGAAAAGGAAAAAAAGAAGAGAAAAAAAAAGAAAAAGAGAGAAAAAAAAAGAGAGAAAGAAAGAGAAAGAGAAAGAGAAAGAAAGAAAAAGAGAGAAAGGAGGAGAGAAAGAGAGAGAAAGAAAGAAAAAAAAAAAAGAGAGAAAGAAAAAAAAGAGAAAAAGAGAGAGAAAAAGACAGAAACAAAAAGAGAGAGAGAAATAAAAAAACAGAGACAGAGACAAAAACAAAAAGAGAGAGAAAAATAGACAAAGACAGAGAGATAAAAAGAGAAAAAGTGTATATATAAGAAAGAGTAAGAGAAAAAGAGTGAGAGTAAGAAAATGAGAAAGTATGTGTATATGAGAGTGAGAAAGTAAGAGAGTAAGAGAGTAAAAAAGTAAGAAAGTAAAAGAGTGAATAAGTAAAAGAGTAAGTAAATATGTGAGTAAGTAAATAAGTGAATGAGTGAGTAAGTGAGTAAGTGAGTAAGTGAGTAAGTGAGTAAGTGAGTAAAAGAATGAGTAAGTGAGTGAGAGAGTAAGTGAGTGAGAGAGTAAGTAAGTAAGTAAGTAAGTAAGTGAGTGAGTAAGTGAAAATGAATGAGTGTGTAAATGAGAAAATAAGAAAATAAGAGAGTAAGCAAATAAGAGAGAGAAAGAAATACATACAAATCAGATATGAATATGAATATATACCAAATATAAATATAGACATAGATCAGATATAGATATATATATATAAATATAAACTAGACATGGATATAAATATGAACCAGACATAGACATAAATATGAACCAGATATAGATATAAATATGAACTAGACCAGAAGTTTACATCTATATTTAAATATATATATAATAGATATTAGACATTGACTATAAATAAAATCTCTAATTAGCCAATTCAATATATTAAACTAGAGTTAATACTTAAATCTGAAGTTAATCATTAAATTTAAATTTATTGTTATAGCTATATATTACTATAATTTTTGAGACATCTAATAAAATTTGCCAAATGATTTTTTGGCTAATTTATACTGGTCGAAAACTGGGAATTCGACTTGGTTGAATTACAATAACATTCGGTAACAAATCGGCTGCTTTTTTTAAAATTCAGTTGCTTCAACATTAATTCGACTTAATTTAGTAAAAATTTGACAACTGAATTTTAATAAAATTTGACTATGCCGATTTCTTCAATAATTTGACCTAATTTAGTCAAAAATTCAACAACTGAATTTTAATAAAATTTGACTATGCCGATTTCTTCAATAATTCGATCTAATTTAGTCAAAAATTCGACAACTGAATTTTAATAAAATTCAACTCGCCGATTTCTTCAATAATTTGACCTAATTTAGTCAAAAATTCGACAACCGAATTTTAATAAAATTTGACACGCCAATTTCTTCAATAATTCGACCTAATTTAGTCAAAAATTCAACAACTGAATTTTAATAAAATTCAACTATGCTGATTTCTTCAATAATTCGATCTAAATTAGTCAAAAATTCAACAGCCGAATTTTAATAAAATTCGACTATACCGATTTCTTCATTAATTCGACCTAAATTAGTCAAAAATTCAACAACCAAATTTTAATCAAATTTGACTATACCGATCTCTTCAATAAATCAACCTAAATTTAGTCAAAAATTCTTTAATCAAATTCGACCTTACTGTTTTTTTTTTTTTTTTTTGTTATTAAGGTGAGGCCTTGCTTGTATCTTTATTAATAGTTTTTAATATAATAACTACAGTGAGTTATTAACCTTTAAATATATAGAATATAAAAAGTAAAAACTACATACAAAATAAAAGCACAGACTACTTTATTTGTGATCTAAACCTACTAGAGTAGTCAATGACTCACCTAAATTGTGATAGTTAAAATGTAATTTGAAAATATACTATATTTGATCTATAATATATAGCAAATATTAATTTTGCAAACAGTCTGTCCAAGTGGTAGACAAGAATTATTAGTATGTAGTTGGTTCTTTATCCTAAATTTTATTCTAACTCAAACTATAAAAAAATTATTTTATTATTTTGTTGCTATATATTAAAAATCACAGATAATAAAGGATATCACAAAAATTAGATGATTTTTCTGAGGAGAAGTGTGTAAAAAATTTAAAATTATATATAAAAACCTGATCAATATATATATTAAGAAGAAGAAGGAGGTAAGCTTTTAATAAAAAAAAATTAAATAATAAATGATACTGCTCTAATTACTTGTAGTAAAAATTAGTTAAGAATATGACAAAAATCAGATGATTTTTTAGGGTGGAGGAAGTAAAAAATTTAAAATTATATATAAAAACCTAATCAAGATATACTGTATATTAAAAGAAAAAAAGAGAAAATAAGTTTTTAATAAAAAAAGTCAGATGATAAATGACACTGCACTTATTTTTTAATAAAAATATATAAATATATAATAAGTATATAAAATAAGGATTTAATCATTTATTGCAGATGTGTTGTAATGCACCCTATAAGATTAGATATAATATAAAACCAAAATAATAGTTTTTATATGATTAAAGTTAGCATTAGATAAGGTTGAGGTAAATATAAAAGATGGGTTTATAGTAAAATTTTGCAATAAAATTTTTTTTTGTTAGAATTCAAAAGGTA